CAGTAGATAAGGCTTGAGGTTAATAGCCCCTGATATAGCAGGGACCAAAGCAGGGCTACTGTGTTTGTGAAAAATGAGCTAAAAAAATTCTATCATTATTCCAAGGAGACAGCATAAAGGTGGTAACCTTCTTATGGAGAGGGGGTAGAAAAAGAGCTCTCGTGTAAATTAGAACCTCTCACGTATTTCTATGGAGAGATAGATATACTTTGGAGTCATACTACCTGCAATACTGAAAAGAAAAGAAAAGAAAAATTAGCCCAGAACCAGGGAAAACCAAAGATTAAAGTTGGCAAAGACACATATAAGATTTCCTGGTTAAGATACCTAACAATGCCCGGCATTAAAGATGAAGAATGGTCAAAAATTATCAACTCTCCAAGAAAATAGATTACTAGGAGGGAAAATGAGCAGATAGATATAAGTAATAGAATTTCTACTTCAAGAAATGGTGATAAGAGAATGATGAAAGGGCCTTTAAATATGTGTAAAATGTCACAGAAAAAAGAAAGAATAGGAACTATAAGAATGGGATGGTAGAAAAAGATGGCAGACAGACATAGAGGGAAAAAAAAAAAGAGACCTTGTCCAATGAAAAAAATGTGTTTATTGACATGGAAACATCATTTAATGGGTTAAAAGTAGATGATCCATAGCTAGAGATAGTGAATTGAAAGCAAGAACTGAGGAAATCATTTGGAATGCATCACAGAGAAAGACAAATAGGAAAGAAAAATTAAGAGATATGAAAGACAAAGAAAAAGGTATGTCTATTTCTATTTTTTAAAAAGATTTACTTATGCATATAAGAACTGGGATACAGGTCAGTGGTATGGGGGATGAGAGATCCAATAGAGACAGAGTGGGAAGCAGGAGAGGCAGATTGACTGAAACACACTGCTGACAGGAGCATCGGGTGAGAGGAGAGGTCTGCTGGGCCATGTGGGTCACCTCCCTGGCTGGGGATCTCATGTTGCTGTGGCTGAGGATAGCTTCACAGTGCTGTGCTTTAACGCCTTGCACCACCAGAGAGGCCCCTAGCATGTCTATTTTTAATAGGAATTTCTGAAGTAGGGATTTATAAGGAGGATAGTGTATAGATTTAATTGAACATACATTTAAAAAATTGTAGGATAAATCTTGAAATAATCTAAATTGAGTATATAGCTTCCAAACCATAAAGAACAACAAGATTAAAGAAAACTCAGGTTGTTAAATAAAAGACAAGAAAGATGTAGGGAAAAAAGAGGAAGTGTGACCAGTTTATATTAATAATCATGATAACGGCAACTGAATTGAAAGTGTCTATTAAGAGAGAGATTCTCAGACTCAGTGGTTCTTGGGGAACAAAATAAAGTAGCTCCTAGGCCAGAAAACTTGAAAGTAAAATGTCAAGTAAAACTTGAAAATGTATATTCATCTGCTTGAAAGCAAATGGATATATTTATCAGGTTCATTAAAGGAGTGTTTATATTAGGAAATATATGAGGGGAGAGAGATTCCTAAATATTCATTAGGGGAATTGATTTTAAAATTCTAAGACATTTATATATAAAAGTACTGGAAAGCTATCTAATGCTATTTGAGTGGGTTAATATGTATCTGTATGGATAAATCAAGAAAATAAGTGAAAAAAAAGCAAGTTAAGAATGAAATTATTTACCTTGTTTCTATTAAAAATAACATCCCTTATCTGTCCTCATTTATTTATTTCTCATATCATTTAACACTAACAGTACTATTTTATATTCTGACAGATAGTAAAAAAGGACTTTGTGTCAATTTTGGCTAAGACCCCTAAAGGCTGAGAACAAAGTAATAGGTATCAAATGATGCTCACAAAAGATTTTCTAGGTCATCTACACAGAACTTATGAAGACAGTACATGAAGACCAGTTTTGGAATCCTGAACCCTTAGGTTGTAAAGACAATGGAAGTTAAAGGAAATGAGGAGAGAGAATTCCTTTTGATCAACAAGAAGGGCTTGTGATATGTTCACTTAGAGAACTTGCCTTCAATTCCTGGAGTTGGTAGACACAAAGGTCAAACCTGTGCCTGAGAAATTCTAAAATCAGAGAAGGTGGCCTACTAGTGGCTGAGGGAAGAGAACTGGGGAAGACTGTTCCCTACAGAATTACTCAGGGCAAAGCTGTGGGCATAGTGGAGAAAATGCTGGCTGGCCGAGAGTACTGTGAAAGGGGCTAGATTTGCAAGGATCCTTGGAAAATGTGAAGTGGGTTTCCAAAACTTGGGGACTTCAGAAGCATTGTCCACATTATGGTCACCGCAGGTGAGAGCGCAACGCTGGAGCTCTCCAAGGAGTCACAGAGCACCTCCTAGGAGAGTCAGCTTTAAATATCTGCCAGGTCTGGCACACACCTGATTAGCATGGTATCATAACAGAACGTGAGGCTTTGCCCATCCCATCCCCTCCCTTTTCCCCAATTTCAAACTCAGAGAATCAGTGACCAAAGCCAACAGGCTGGTAGGGGAGGCAGAAAAGCAAAGATGAGGAAATAAAGGAATCAGATCCTCCTCCCACTTGGAAGTAAACCCCAGCCAGGGAAGGGAGGTTTCTTTGGGTTCCTTTTTGTTCAGCTAGCATGTATATAGAAAAGTGGACAAATCATGAGTATACATCCTGACACATTCTCGCAGTGAGCACACGTGTGTCTCCACTATCCATATCAAGAAACAACATTATCAGAAGCCCCCAGTGCTTTCTTCCAGGTCCCTAAGTGGGCCCACCTTTCCCAGGTAATAATATCCAAGTCAGGATATTTTTTTTTGTAATTATAAAATCAACTATTATTTTATCTCCCAGTTTACTTAAAAAAAAAAAAAAAACAACAAGCAAACTTGTAGTTGAAATAATTTCAGAACTAGAGAAAAGTTGTAAGGCCATATGAAGTAATTCTCCACCCGCTTCATCCAGATTCCTTAATCGTTAATGTTTTATGGAAATGTTTTATGGAAAGATACACATAAGCTTAAGATGTCATATACTCTGAAATCCTCAAAGAACATAAAACACTATATGACTGTACCCAAGGAGATTCTGCTAGTTTCTTCTAGGAATGAAAGGAGGGGAATGAGTTGGGTGAAGGGTGTAAGGAGACTTAAACTTTATAATGTTTTATGTAAAATGGCAAAATGTAAATTCATTACAAAGAGAGTTACTTGGTTCCTTTTAAAGTGTTTGAAAATTTTAAAAATTATTTAAATAAGAGAGAGTTTGTGTTTTATCACGTAGGAAGTTGGGAGCTGTTGAAGTGTGCTTTTAACTGTTGAAATAAATGTCTTTATGACTTCTCTGTTCTCTGTCCTTGCCTATAGAATAGGACACTTAAATGAGCTATAGGGTTGATTCACCCCAGTATCATTTTTCTTTTCTTCTCCTTCTTATTGCTTCTCACTGCTAAGTGCCCAGTGGTGTCTCACATGGTAAGATTAAAACTTGCACTTTTACTAATAGATGTAACTCCCTTCCTGATTTGCAGTAAGCAGGACCTGCTTTTAAGCAATTACCCATCATTTGGGGCCGTCACACACACTGCTTTGGTTCAGGTCATAATCAATAATTCATATGTCAATGGGAGCCCCATTAGCTCAGGTGAAGGCAGATGTCTTTCTAATGAAAATGCTCCATTTTCCAAATGACTTTTCTTTTTCCCAGAGAGTTGTGGTTATAGAAGACATAAAAAGATGGAAAACTATGCTGGAGCTTCCTGATCAAACCAAAGAGAATCTAGTTGAAGTCTTACGAGAATTAAAGAAGAAACTACCCTCCAGGGAAGTGTTAAAGTCAACAAGGATAGGTATGTTCCTCATGAATTTTATGAAAAATGCTTTTATTTTGTCTTTTTTCATCTTTTCCTCATTCTATGAAAATTATCTGTCATATCAGTGTTTTTCAAACTATCTGTTCAGGACCATTGTTTAATCATTCCCTATTGGTTGTAAACCAATACTTTTATAATACCTAATGAAATAATCAGAAAAAATGAAATTAAAATATCAAAATACAAGCCCCACTTTTTTTTTTGTTAAACTAGTTTTGATAGATGTGGACTTACTCTTAGAAAGTTTCTAAATGCTTTCTTACCTCTTGGACTAGTGCACTGGATCTTTTGTGTTGGATTCTGAGTGTGCAGAAATGAATGAGACTTAATTTGTGACCCCAAGGAGCTTAGGGTTTGGTGGAGAATAAGCACGTAGACAAATGGGAGCAGTGAAATCTGATAGCTTCTAAGCGGAGGCATACAGATAATGCCATGGGTGCCATTTTGATCTGAACAGGTATATGCTGGCACAAAGGACAGAGTCATTACTTACATCTGGGGAATTCAGCAGAAGCTTCTGAGAGGAGGCAGCATTGCAGTTAAATTTTGAAAGAGATGTGGCTTTTCTGTAATGAGTAGAAATAACTTGCAAAGTGTGGTTTATAAAAACAAAATGATGGTAACGTTACCACTGTATCATTTATTATAGCATTGGAGGTATTTAAAAGGTAAGTCAGGGACTGCGTTGAATTGCCATTTTAGTACAGTACACAACTGTGAATAATTTGCGAGGGAGGGCCAACATGTGTTCTTCAAGCTGCTCCTAAGTCCCCAGGGAGTCCAGGGTAGTCATTCACAGCTGCTGTTCTTGCCCTCACTAGCGCAGCCATTGCCTTCTCTGCCTCCCCTTGACCTCTTGTTCATGAGATGCAGGAGAGAGAGCAGCTTCAGACTGGCGCTAACAGCTGGCAAGAGCTGTGTGAAATCCCCCAGAGGACCCCCAAGAGTCTTGAGAGTTGCACCCCTGTAATATAAACCAGAATCTGAGAAAATTAGATGCTTAAAGAACATAAAACCCTATCATTATAGCCAAGGAGACTTTCCCATCTGCTGCTGAGTTTTTTCTTTATAGGTTGTAGTCACTAGAGGGCAATAAGACCATTCATATGAATGGATAAGGTATTTCTACCAGTAGAGGGTACTAGTGATTAATATTTTATGGCATGTATATATACGTTTATATATGTCTGTACATGTTCATACTTAGGAACACACCCCACAGACCAGATATGATACCAGATAAATATCAACATAATAGACTAGAATTGTCCTACACAAATATAGGACAGATGATAGTTTTTTAAAACCATTTCTGTTTGTCCTTTGAGTACATTTAGGAGTGTGCTTTCAAGAAAGGTGTGTCTGATGTTTAGAGATTTCAATGCAAGGATCATAATGAAACCACAACAGGAGAACTTGACTTAGGAGGAGCTGGAAACCAGCCAACTTCTGAGTCTTGACCTTACCCAAAGCCTTCCTTAAACCTGAGGTTGAATGGAATATAGAGACTTTTTGGGTTCCTTTTTCATTACATTAGTTGCTAGGCTGAAGATGTATTTAGATCATTGTGGAGAATATTTACACTTTTCCATCTTTAATCTCCTGCCTGCCCTAGCCGGGGGGCTGTCAGGGACAAGTATTTATTGAGTACCATCTTTGTGTTGGAATTGTGCTGGCATAATAATGGAGACAGGCACAGTTCCTATCTTTTTGAAATGGACAGTCAAATGGAAGGACAGACAGTTTAATAAGAGTATCATACAATGTGATGAGTACTCTTATGATGGGGGAAGTTAGTCAAAGGATTATATATATATCAGAAGTAGAGGATAAGGTGTTGAAGAATTTATCAGGCAGGCATGCATCATACGAATGGTATAGAGGACTGGAGGTGGACTGAAACATGATACATCCAGAAGCTAAAAGAAGCTCAGTGTGTTTGAAATGGAATAAGCTGAAGGGAGTGTCTGGACCAGATGGAGATAGCTCTTTGTAAGCCATTCAAAACAATTTGGTGTTAGCATGTATATAAATTATCTATCCTTGTGTAAGAATTACCCCCAAAATTTAGTAGCTCAAGTATTTGTTATATTACACAGATTTTTTTTTTTGAGGGTCAAGAATCTGGGAGGTTCTGACTCAGGGTCTTTTCAGAGGTTGCATTCAAACTATTGGTTGGGACTGCAGTTATCGTAAAGCTTGATGAGGACTTGAAAATCTGCTCAAAGTAGCTCATTCATGGAATTGCTTGCAAGAGGCTTCAAATTCTTCATCACATGGACCTCTCATTTGGGCTGCTCATCTGGCAGCTGACTTTCTCTAGAACAAGTTATCCAAGAGAAAATAACCACTATCAGAACCAGGGACTTTTATCACCTAATTGTACACGTGACATACCATCACTTTTGTCATATTCTGTTGGTCACACAGATCAATCCTGTACAATTTGGGAGGCAACTACACAGGGTTTTGAATACCAAGGGGTGAGGGGTCACTGGGGGCTGTCTTGTGTACTGGTTACCAGAGCATTTATTTCTTTTTTTTAAACCTAGATATATTATACTTCCTAGACCTGCTTAGAATTAGTTTCACTTGTAGAAATTTTACAGACATTTTCTCTTCACAAGTACCTGTCTTTCATTATTCTTGACTCCTTCCTTCTGGGATTATATAATTAGAAATATGCTAGACCTTTCATTTTCAATAACACTTAACTTACCTGTCTTGTTTTTTATCTGCTGTTTCTTGCAGAATTCAGGGCAGTTTGTTCATATATAGATCTTCCAAGTCACTAGTTCACTCTTTAGTGAATTCTAATCTTCTATTTAACTCATTTGTTAACTTCTTTATTTATTTTTAAAGGTTTATTTATGCACATAGAACTGGGGTACAGGGCAGAGGTGTAGGGGTGGTGAGAGGATTCACCGGAGACCAAGTGGGGAGCAGGACAGGCACACTGACAAAGGACACTGCTGAGGGGAGCAGCGGGCAGGACAGAGGTCTGCCATGCCATGTGGGTCACCTCCGGGGCCGGGGATTGAGCTGAAGGACCAGCTAGCTTAGTAGTGCTGTGCTTTAACCCACTGTGCCACCAGGGAGGGCCAACTTCTTTATTTTAAACACGCTTTTATTTTTATGTTTCCTTTTTACCTCCTAAATTTGTCTCTTTTAAATATTTGCGTATTCTTGTGATTTGGGCCTTTTATTTCTTTGAGCATATAATGAATAGTTTTTCTGTTTTGTTCATCCTACTATTTGTTATCCTTGGGAATTTTTATTTGTCTTTTTACTGTTTCTGCTGACTCTTGTGGTGCCTGCCTTCCTATGTGCTTGCTGATTTTTCATTGTGAGTTCATTACTTGATTTCATTCTATGGGAACTTTGTGAGACTTGGTTGGAGAAATTTCCTGTAGAGAGGATTTGTTTCCTTTTTTCTTTTTCCTAGTAGCTAAGGGCTACTTTTAATCGGGAATATTTTCACACTCCCCTCAAGGATCCTGGCTTAGTATGAGAGTACCAGGGCTAGCTCTTCTACTTCATCCCTGGCCCCAGCTAAGTATTTCGACAACATTGATATAAAAAATTCATCCTGGGCCCTCCCTGGTGGCACAGCGGGTTAAAGCACTGCACTGAGAAGCTAAAGCCACTTCCGTATGAGTTCGATTCCCGCCTGCCCCGGAGGTGACCACATGGCGCGGCAGACCTCTCCTGACCCGCCCGCTGCTCCCCTCAGCAGTGTACTTTGATCATCTGCCTGTTCTGCTCCCCACTCTGTCTCTGGTGAATCCTATCACCCTCCACATCTCTGGCCTGTACCCCAGTTCTCTATGAATAAATAAATAAATCTTAAAAAAAAAAATTCATCCTTCCCTAATTTTTCCTCTTTAGTCTTACTTTATGGAGGAGGGAAAGAGGTGACTTTTATTTGTAATCTAGTTGTACAGCATTGAAAGTGTAGCTTTAGTTCACTATAAAGTCTCTAAATCCTAAAGATAATAAGCGATTATTATTGAAGAGTTTTGAATGGAGGAATGCCATATTCCATACATTTGCATTTTAGAAAACTCTGACTTCTATGAAGGAAAAGTTGGAGAGAAGCAAACTTTGAGGCAGGAAACCCAACTAACAAGCTACTAAAATATGTGCCTGAGAAATGCGGATGGCCTGGATGGGGTATTAGTCATGGGGATGGAAAATGGCTGAAATCAAGAGATATGAATGGAATAAAATCCAAAGGATCTAGAAATTGATTGGATTTTGGGGATAAAGATAAAGGAGTGAAGTCTGAGGCACAAATTTCTTATGTGGGCAAGTAGGTGGAAGATGGTACAACTCTTTAGGATAGGAAGCAGTCACTTTAGAAGGGGAGATAAGTTCAGTTTTAAATTTACTGTGTTTGCTATACTGTGGGACATCCAAGCGGGAATATCTAACCTGATAGTGGATGTACAAAGCTGACACTAAGGAGAGACAGCAAATATATACTTGAGAATTTTCATGAACATACAATTAGAAATTGAGGCAATGGAAAAAGAAAAGCCTGCCCAGGTATAGAGTAGTTGAAAAAAATCCAGAGTCAAACCTGAAATCCTGAAGCACGCCAATGTGTAAAGGACTTATAGAAGGAGAGTGAGAAGGTGTGAAGAGACAAAGGAAATGGGAGAAGATGCTGTTATGGAATGGGCAACAGTGTTTCAAGGGGGAGCTGGTGAGAATGGTCAACGGTGTCCTTTGTTCTCAAAGGACCAACTGAGCTAAGTCTAAAAATTGCACATTAGATTTTGGTAAGGACAGTTTCAAGGGCAAAGTTAGGGACACAGGCAGAGGAAAGTGATGAGGAAAGGAACCTCTTTCAAGAAGTTTGCTATTGAAAGAGACAGCAGTAGCAGAGAGAAAATATAGGATTGAAGAAAGTCCTCCTTTGTTAAATAAGAGAGAATCTAACCTGTTGATTGACAGGTTTGTAGAGACATTCT